TGACCAGCATGTTCTCTAAAATGATTTGGTAGTTAAACATTTTTTATTTGAAGACTCTTCAGACTACACGTAATTTTTTTTTTAATTCACAGGACCTCACTGTGTCACCCAGGCTGGAGTGCAGTGGTGCAATCATAGCTCACTGCAGCTTCGAACTCCTGGGCTCAAGCGATCCTCCTGCCTCAGCCTCCAGAGTAGCTGGGACTACAGGTGCGTGCCACCACACCTCACTAATTTTTTTTTTTTTTTTAACTTTTTGTAGAGACAAAGTTTCTCCCTATGTTGCTCAGACTGGTCTTAAACTCCTGGCTTCAGGCAATCCTCCTGCCATGGCCTCCCAAAGTGCTGGAATTACAGGTGTGAGCCACCCATCCTGCCCAGCTCTACATGCAAATTTTTACTTTTATCAATTTCTTTTAACTAAATGTGCATTAAAAGGTTTCCCTTTAATTTTTAAAACAATAAGCCAAAGTGTTAGGGAACTATCTTAGTAATTTTAAAAATATATTACTATGTTTCTCATTATCTTGATTCTAAAATATAAATAAAAGTTCTATAGACACACTATTTTTCCTCCTCATGTGTTGGAGCTTAGCTTTGAATGTCCTCCTCAAGAGAACAGTCTGACCACCCCAGCTAGGAATGGTCCATATTGGCTTTATGTACTTCTTAACACTTCATATCTAGTAAAGTGCCTGGCACTGAGTAGGTACTTAGAAAATATATGGAATAAATGAACACCTACTTTAAAACCATGTGAATGCATTCTGTGTGAGGGAGGGGAGCGTGTGGCTGCTGTTTCACTTCCTTTACCACTCGGGTTATCCAAAATCGAGAGTTAACCTCAAGCAGAGAAATGTGAGGTGATGGGGACTTTAAAGACGAGAAGTTATGATTAAACATATATCTATTCACATCACTAAAAAAAAATACACATAGCATGGAAAAACTTGCCAATATATAATCATAAATTGTAGCCAATCTACATGAAGGAATCACTGGCTGAAAGAAGGCCCCCAAAGTGCTTTATAGACGGAATAACAACCACACCACATCCCTGTTAAATACCATTAACTCCATTGTTACAGAAAATAAAGTATATATTCATAGATAGATTTTCCAGGATGCTAGAATAATTCAACTAGACATTTTAATTTAGTCCTCTTTTCATCACAATCTACCACAAAATTCATTCATTGCTTCTTCAAGAGCTTCTAGGCCTGGAAATATCACCTTTAAAATATCACCACTATTTTTTGTATCGTTCCTGAAGCGATAAAATATACTCAATGATAAAATGACTTTTTTAAAAAAGGATACCATGGTCAGCCAAAAGGATTATATTGGCACAATTGTGTAAATTCCGCTGCTTTAGGCCTTCCATCAACATTCCAACAGCATCGTCTACTAACTGTAAGGCTTCAATTATCTAAAAAAAAAATTTGGAGTTAAGATAGTCCTCATGAATTGTTTCAATTAACCAAATCATTATCTAATCAAGTAAAAATTAAACACATTTCCTTCTCTGAAATAGCTGGTTTTTAAAACAGAACAGCAGAGCCCAGCACCCACGCTACCTCATTTACCAAATACCAATTCCCTAAATTTCTATAAACAAAAAATAAACCATGTTCCTACCAAGGAAGATGGGCTACTGGCCAACAAACACATGAAACAACGCTGAATGTTAGCAAGCACTATTCAACTGTAAAGATTTTCCTAACGATGACGGACACTTCCGAGACAGCCTAAATGCTCACACATATTCGGGACAGGCACGGGACCGTGGGTCACCAGAGAGTTAAAAAGGAGCAGACCCTGTAATCTAATAATTCTATCTCTGGGTATTTGTACTAAGTAAACACATAGAATATAAATGGAGATTTACATACAAACATAGTCATCACATTATTGATTTATAATTTAAATTCAAGGAAAAATAAATTACGGCACATCCTTAAGAAGGCATAATCTACAGCCATTAAGAACCACTTTTCAAAGAACAGTGGCATAGGAAAATGCTCGTGATAAATACAGTGTTAAGCGTAAAAAATCAAAACCAAGCTGTATACACACCCATGCATATTGCATAATCCTGATTTTAGTTTGAAATATATTTATCATTTCTTAGTAAACATAAGTGCACCGAAAACTAAAAGGAAATAAATCAAAGTACTATTAACAGTGGTTATCTCTGAATAGTGGAATGGAGTTCATTTTTATTTTATTATTTACTCTTTATTGTTTTTAAATGTTTCCACACTTTATCAACATAATACATTGAACTGACTTAAGGCTTAAGTAAATTTTCCTGGCATAACTTTTCCATATTTTTTTCCAGTAAATAAGAAAGCGTAATAGCAATGGATTAGGAAAAAATGTTTTATCTCTCATAGTACTATTATAATAAGGATCACTTTTTTTTTTCTTTTTTGAGAAAGAATTTTATAAGCCAAATACTGTTAAGAGCTTTAGTGCTCATGAAATCCTCACATCAAACATTCATTGATGGTGGGTGCTATTGGAACTGCCAATTGTAAAGGCCAGAAAACTTGAGGTCCTACAGACTTGAACTCAACCCATGCTCTGTCTGCTGTTTAACCCATCATCAACTTCAAGATGCTTTCTTGATCCTCAATCTTAGGGTGATCTGAGCTCTGATTTGCCAATGAGAGTCATGCTTTCCATCTGTTGTCATGACATAATGTGCCCTTTCACGTTGTCATCCTACTCACTCCCCCGAACCACATGAAGAGCTCCTCCACTTCTGTCCTCTCCCGGCACCCTGGCACACTGCTGCCACTGGACTCTTCACAGTTTTGAAATCACCTGTGCATGTGTCTGCCTCTCAAGAGGAGCATGAGCTCCTGCAGGGAAGGGATCATGCAACCCAACTCATCTCGTGTTTCCTGAACCTAGAGTCTTTCACCAAGTACATACTCCATAGAATGTGAAGTGATTTGATGTCAGTCCCTAGCTCTCTCCCAGCCAAAGGAAAGAAACAAGAAATCCCCGTAATGGGCAATGAGTGAGCAGCTTTGGGGGCAAGATAATTTACAGGGATAGAAATGGAACTTTTCACTCCATCTGATATGGAATGATTTGTTTATCAATAATGAATAAAAGCTGAAGCTTACTGAAGTACGTAGGCCATTATTTAAAGTCACTCATGACCAGTCAGGACATTCTGTGACTAATTCAACCTCAAATTCAGAGATGCACTGTGACAAATTTATTAAGAAATTCATGGTTTCATGATACTTCAAATGCCTCTCCTATTCCCTCCTGCTGTCCAAATCCTAACACCGTCTATAAAGCCTTCTCAAGTTATACCAGGCCACAATAATCATCTAATTTAAATACTATTTAAGCTATCAAAGTTTTAAAAATTTAAAATGTTTCACATCAAAAAATTTCTTTAAAAAAACCATTGTACATTAACTCATTATTTCCTTTATTTGTCCTTTCAGCATGGTTTCTGGCAGTGAGGGCATTATCTTCCTCACCCCTAAGAATGCCTAGTACAACATTAGGCCCACCAGCAAAGCTGTTTCAAAGTAGGCCTTAAAGAGATATCAGAGCAAGAAGGGTTTTGATAACTGAAAAATCTAGAACAAGTTACCAAGCTTTTAACGTAGTGAGTGGGTGAAAACAAACTAAAATAGCCTTTTTACTTTCAATTTACAAGTCCTATTAACTCTGAATGAAGGTATGTGATTAAAAATAACAATAATGATTAAAAAAAGTCACGAAGACTTCATCGTTCTCCATCCATTTTGCCTCTTCCTGAGTTTTAAATGAGGCTTGGTCTTAGTCCTTCTTCAATTTTCACTCTCCATGCCCTCCTTAGGACATCTCTACTTCCGGGCACCACTTACATGCTGCCAAACTCCCAGATCTTCATCTCCTTTGAGCTTTAAATCTATATTCACTTGCCTTCTAGACATCTTCATCTGGAGGTCACAGGTGCCTCAATTGCAAAGTGAACATCTCCCCCAAACTTACCCCCCATCAGTGGTCTTATTAATGTAAATGGAGCCACCTGCTGGTGTATAACAGAAACCAGGAAATCATCCCTGATGCCCCATGCCCCTCATGAAACTCACACTAAATCATGCCAAATCTATCTCCTAAATGAATCTCAAATGAATTTTCTTCCACCCTTGCTGGTTGCCACTATCCTAATCCAAGTCACTATTATTTCTTTTCTGGAACATTGTAAAACCTGTCTGTCCCACTTTGCTTGCTCCCTCTAACTAATTCCTCTTACATGATAAAAGTGATCTCTAAATACACATGGGTCTGTCCATGTCACCCCCCTGATCACAGTGCCTCAATGTTTCCCATTATACCTTTTACGGGTTGCAAGGGCCTGCAGGATTTGGTCTGCCTCCTCTGGGCTTCCTCCTAGCCCTCTCCTCTGGTTCACAATGCTCCAGACATTGGTGAGAGATAATATTCACACAGCACTTCCAACAGTACCCGCAGGCACAGAGTAGCACACAATAAGGATGCTATTACTATTCTTACCATTATCATGTTGTCTATTTGTCAGGCCATCTAGCCATTAGTCTGTCTGTCCATTTGTTCATTCTGTGTGTTCCTCCAATGTGCGCAGCTCCTTCTTCAGTCAGGCCATTTGGGAATTTCGTTTCTTTTTTGTCACTCAGAGGAGAACCTCCTATCCAGCCCCAGTTCCCACCTACCCCTCAGACTAGATCAGGACCTCCTGATAGACCTCTAAGGGCACCCTGATCTTTTCCTTTGCAGCACTTTTCAAAATTATATTTAAAATGTATTTGGGTACTAAGCTAGAGCACTGAATGGACAAAAAGGAAATGGTGCTTAAAAGTCAGCTGTAGAGGTTGGACAAAAGCAAATAGAGTGCCCCCTCAGAAATTGTTAATCATACCAAACATGGCTCACAGTTAAAATAGAAAAGAAGAAATGATGAATATGTTTTAGGTAGTTACCAAGCCATTCACCCTTAGGGCAACCTGAATAAGTGTAAAATACTGTGGTACATACAGTCTAGAGTGCTGTGGGGATACAGAGGAGGCCTGAGGCTTAGAAGTGGCAAGGCTCGAGCAGGGCCCTATGTCAGGAATCTTTCTGGTCTAACAGGAAGGAAGAAAAAGGGCTGTTCTGAGAAGTGGGCAAGACGTGCTGCCAGAATGAATATATTTCCACTCCAACAGAGGACAACTGCATTCCAGCTGAGGATAATTATTAAATGAGTTTCCATGGGTTGGGGAAATGCTGTGCTCACGGGAGCCTTTGCAACTTTACGCTGTGTTAAAGGCAATAGAGGCTTCAGGGGAGTTTAGAAGAGAGAATGGCTTTTTTTGCTAAAAACAATATTTAAGGATTATATTAGTGTAGTAAAATCATAACAGAATGGTCTTGATAATGAAGAAACTTATATTAGAGAGTCCACTTCAAAGATAATAGGAAACTAGAAGGGGAATAACTCTGCCTAAGGCAGAGTAAGACATAGTAAGTCCAACCATAAGGAACTTATGAATGAAACTGTGCAGGAACAGACAGCTGGAGATTCCACTTGCAGGTGACTTAGCTTGAAACACACCACATGAACAAGTTGAACTGGCTTACGCATTATCTAGCCTTGATGTCTTCACTACAGGAAATAACAGCGCCACATCTAAGTAGTCAATAAATGTTTATCAAGTGAATCAAGAGGTGGTTAATAAGGCAGTTCTCCTTTCCAGAATTTTTACCTATTTTATGGTTAATAAGGCAGACTAACCATAGCATTCTTTTTAGACTTTTAACTATTTTGATTTTCTCATGTATATATCAAATACATTTGTGTTCGATAGACATTAAAGAATACCCTTTTATTCTGTGGGTTAGGGCTAGATGATTTTGAGACAGTACAGCGACAGGACTTAGGCCTCACTTCTGACCAACAAAGGCAACATGGGGCAGCATGACTGAGCCTAATTAACTGTAGAAGAGCAAAAAAGAAATGACCTTCTAGCCACTGGAATCCAGCCCATACCACACAAGGAGGGGGCCAACTTGTCTGTCTCTTGAGTAATGTCTTCCAGGACCACATAAGCAAGATGCTGATACCAACTGATAAGGAACCTGGCTGCAAAGAAATCAGACCTATCTGGATCTAACTGCCTCAAGCCAGAAAAGACCCCCATACTGGCTTTTTTTTTT